TGATGCAAATGTCACTTCACCACAAACATCGCAGAAGTCATCTGCTTTGTTCACACAAGTGCGAGGCATCTCTGTTCATTTTGGCTAAACGGAAATGTGTCCCTTTGCAAAAATTAAACACTGACAAAGAATAGAGCAAAACACTATGATTTATAGAGCTGATATAGTGGAATTTGTTCAGCAGAGGGATGTAAGCCTAGTTATGATTGCATCATCCATGACTTCTAGGAATAACATGATGCAATTCATATCATGTATGACGCAATACCAGGTTCAGATTGCATCATTCATTGTTTTGCTCAAACAGCAAGTACTGTCCAAACCCAGTCATAGATTTATTCATAGCTCCAGTCAAAGATGTATTTCAGTCATTTCTGGTTTAAATTGAGATCCCTTCCCCTTATAACTCACTTATCCTCCCACCATTCCCAAGTTAAGGGTGGTGTATACTGAATATCTTGAAAACTAGACACAATCAACAATTTTAAGCATAATTTGCATTCTCAGTGACCCAGAATTAGTAAAGTTGGACTACATTTTTTTCGGAAGCATTTTGGCTGTCGACCAGTGTAGTGGGCGAGCGAGAGGGTTGGTGGATGTCAGTGAATTAAAGAGTGAGCAAGCAGGCAGCTGGCTGAGTTAGTTCATGCATGAATGGTGAGCGAGTGGGGAGCTGGGTGAGTTAGTGAATTAATGTATTGATTGGTGAGCAAGTGGGTAGGTTGGTGAATTGAGTAGCGTACTGGTGGATGAGTTAGTGAATGAAAAGGTGAGCGAGTAGGGAGCTGGGTGAGTTAGTTCATGCACGAATGGGTGAGCAAGTGGGTAGTTGGTGAATTGATTAATGGGTGAGCGAGTGGGTATGTGGATGAGTTTGTGGATGAGTTTGTGAATGAATGGGTGTGCGCGTAGGCAGCTGGGTGAGTTAGTTGATGAATGAATGGGTAAGCGGGTGGGTACGTGGGTGAATTAGTGAGTGAGTGAATGAATGAGTGGGTGAGTGAGTGAGTTCGTGACTTAATGAATGGGTGAGCGAGTGGATGGTTGGGTTGAGAAAGTGTTTTTTTTTCTACGTTGTTATTTATATAAAAAAAATGTTCTGACCCATTGACACTCTTGCAAATGAGACCTTGTCCTGGCCTCTTGAGGGTTCACCTTGGTTAAACAAAACAACACTCGCGTGCTCGAGTGAGTGGGTGGGTGAATAATCTGGTGCGGGCGGGCGGGTGGGTGGGTGAATGGATGAGTAGGTACGTGAGAGGGTGGATGGGTGACTGGTTGAGTGAACGGGTGAGCGGCTGAGCCCGTGCATGGTCGAATGGGCGAGTGAGTCGTGGATGAGCGAGTGTGAGCGAGCGTAGGTGGGTGAGCGACGGAGCAAGTTCACGTGTGACTGAGTGCAAGGCAGAGGTCGCAACCGGGTACCCGATACCCATACCCTACCCGATACCCGGCTACCCGTACCCGGCCAGATTACGGGTACGGGTACCCGTTTGCGACCCTGGTGCGGCCGGGTACGGGTACGGGTAGGCCGTGAGTCACTGGTGAGTAACTGTTTGTCACTCATTTCGGGTAGGGTACGGGTAGGGAACGGTTACCCGTACCCAGCCGGGTACGGGTACCCATTTGCGACCCTGGTGTGGCCGGGTACGGGTAAGGAATCAAAACCCGTTTGCGACCTCTGGTGCAAGGTAATAGTAGAAGGGGGGCGGGGGGGGCTAGCTAGTGATGGGCGAGGCGGTGGGGGGAGGGACAGATGGTGTAATTTGCCCCAGGACTAAGATCCAAGAGGGCTTCAGAAACGGCCGTGGGGAGTTCTGGGGGGGGGGGGGGGGCTGTAGGGGGGTGGGGGGGGGGGCTCATCTGAAATTTTGCCTCGGGCCTTCGCAAACCTTTCATCGGCCTTGCCCCAGTGAGTGAGCGAGTGGATGCACCGGCTAATGAGTGACTGAACGAGTTAAAGTTTCCACCAAAGGAGTGCATTTCATTGCGTAAGTTTTACAGGACGCGTCGTTCGTGCGGCTTGCATCGCACGAACGCTCACGAAGCACGGGCAGCCCGGCCGTGAGCAGTCATCGTGATGGTGATGGGTGGGATGATGGGTGGGGTGGTTCTGCAGGTGATGTGATGGTGATGGGTGGGGGGGGGGTCGTGATGGTGGTGGGTGGGGTGGTTCTGGAGGTAGTGGTGATGGTGGGTGGTGATGGTGGGTGGGTGGTGATGGTGGGTGGGTGGTGATGGTGGGTGGTGATGGTGAGTGGGTGGTGATGGTGGGTGGGTGTTTGGGGTGGTTCTGCAGGTGGTGGTGGTGGGTGGTGATGGTGGGTGGGTGGTGTTGGTGGGTGGGTGGTGATGGTGGGTGGATGGTGATGGTGGGTGGGTGATTGGGGTGGTTCTGCACATGGTGGTGTTGGTGGGTGGTGGTGGTGGGTGGTGATGGTGGGTGGGGATGGTAGGTGGGTGGGTGTTGGTGGTGGGTGGGTGGTGATTGTGGGTGGAGATGGTGGGTGGTGATGGTGGGTGGGTGGTGATGGTGGGTGGAGATGGTGGGTGGGTGGTGGTGGTGGGTGGGTGGTGATGGTGGGTGGTGATGGTGGGTGGGTGTTGGTGGTGGGTGGTGATGGTGGGTGGTGATGGTGGGTGGGTGGTGGGTGGATGGTGATGGTGGGTGGGTGGTGGTGTTGGTGGGTGGTGATGGTGGATGGTGATGGTGGGTGGGTGGTGGTGATGGTGGGTGGTGATGGTGGGTGGATGGTGGGTGGGTGGTGATGGTGGGTGGTGATGGTGGGTGGGTGGTGATGGTGGGTGGGTGGTGATGGTGGGTGGTGATGGTGGGTGGTGATGGTGGGTGGGTGGTGGGTGGGTGGTGATGGTGGGTGGTGATGGTGGGTGGGTGTTGGTGGTGGGTGGGTGGTGATGGTGGGTGGGTGGTGATGGTGGGTGGGTGTTGGTGGTGGGTGGTGATGGTGGGTGGGTGATTGGGGTGGTTCTGCTGGTGGTGGTGTTGGTGGTGGTGATGGTGGGTGGTGGTGGTGGGTGGGTGGTGATGGTGGGTGGTGATGGTGGGTGATGGTAGTGGTGGGTGGTGATGGTGGGTGGGTGGGTGGTGATGGTGGGTGGGTGTTGGTGGTGGGTGGTGATGGTGAGTGGTGGGTGGGTGATTGGGGTGGTTCTGCTGCTGCTGGTGGTGTTGGTGGGTGGGTGGTGATGGTGGGTGGGTGGTGATGGTGGGTGGGTGGTGATGGTGGGTGATTGGGGTGGTTCTGCTGGTGGTGGTGTTGGTGGTGAGTGGTGATGGTGGGTGGGTGATTGAATGAGATGGTGGGTGGGTGGTAATGGTGGGTGGTGATGGTGGGTGGTGATGGTGGGTGGGTGATTGGGGTGGTTCTGCTGCTGGTGGTGGGTGTTGGTGGTGGGTGGTGATGGTGGGTGGTGATGGTGGGTGGTAATGGTGGGTGGGTGATTGGGGTGGTTGTGCTGCTGCTGGTGTTGACGCGCTTCGAGCAGCTCGCTAATTGCCTGTAACGATGATCGGAGGAACGCCGGTGATTGCTGCTCGGTAGCCATGGCAACCGGGTCACTCAGTCATCCCTGCTCCTACTCGAAGCGGCTTCCATCATCCGAGCCGTGAGGGTGGCAGCATTGAACAACAACAACGACAACGACAGCAGCCAGAGCAATAATAACAACAACAAACACAGCCAACAACAACGGCAGCGACAACAACAATAATTTAGCAATGCGAACGGTGACAACGGCGATAGTGACAACAAGCAAAGCGATATCACCAACAGCAGTAACCACGGCAACAGCTACGCAGTAACCATGGCAACAACAGCGGTGATACAGCAACACGCATAACAGCAGCAGCAACAACAAAAACAACAACTCCACCACCAACAACAGCAGCAGCAGCTACACCAGCACCAGCAATCACAAGTAGCACAACAACAGCAGGCGCAACAACCACTACCACGACCACCACGACCACCACCACCACCACGACCACCACCACAACCACGACCACCACCACCACCACTACCACGATCACCACCACGACCACCACTACCACCACTACCACCACTACCACCACCACCACGACCACCACGACCACCACCACGACCACCAAAACTACCACCACCACAACCACCACCACTACCACCACGACCACCACCACGACCACCACCACCACTACCACCACCACCACCACGACCACCACCACCACGACCACCACCACCACAACCACCACCACCACCACCACCACCACAACCACCACCACCACGACCACCACCACCACGACCACCACCACCACCACAACCACCACGACCACCACCACCACCACCACTACCACCACTACCACTAAACTACCACGACCACCACCACCACTACCATCACGATCACCACCACGATCACCACCACCACCACGACCACCACCACTACCACCACTACCACCACCACGATCACCACCACCACGACCACCACCACTACCACCACCACGACCACCACGACCACCACCACGACCACCACGACTACCACCACCATCACTACCACCACTACCACGATCACCACCACGATCACCACCACCACGACCACCACCACCACTACCACCACGACCACCACCACGACCACGACCACCACCACGACCACCACTACCACCACGACCACCACCACGACCAACACCACGACGACCACCACCCCTACCACCATCACCACCACCATCACCACTACCACCACCACCACGACCACCACCACGACCACCACTTCGACGACCACCACCACCACTACCACCATCACCACTACCACCACCACCACGACCACCACTACCACGATCTCACCGGGTCAAGAGCAGAAGCGTCATCACACACCAACACAAATGGCCCAGTGATCCTCAGCACGATGTGCATGTCAGGGTGACAAAGATCCCCCGTGTAGCCTGTAACAGACTGTAGGTGCTGTTGTGTGGGGCCGAGTGGTGCTGGGGCACGAGACAGAGGGAGGACCCAGCCATGGCAGTCACAGAGATGAGGATGTTGCGGTGGATGTTGGGTTTGACAAGGAAGGACACAGGCGGTGAGAAATGAAGAAGCGAGAGAAAGACTCGAGGTGGTAGAGATCACAGAGGAGATGAGAGGGAGAGAGAGAAAAGGCTCTGGCGTGGTTCGGTCATGCTGAGAGACGACATGAACATTACGTGAGGCAGAAGAAAAGTGGAAAAAGAGAGATCAAGAGGAAGGCAGAAGAAGAGGTGGGGGGAGGGGGGCGATGTGGTGTGAAAGAGAGATGGGACAGGGCAGCGTGGAGAAGGTTGGGTGGGTGATTGGGTGGATGGGTGGGTGGATGGATGGATGGGTGGATGGGTGGGTGAGTGGATGGGTCGGGGGTGGATGGGTGGGTGGATGGGTGGGTGGGTGGATGGATGGGTGGGTGGATGGGTGGGTGGGTGGATGGATGGGTGGGTGATTGGATGAGTGGATGGGCGATTGGGTGGATGGATGGGTGGGTGAGTGCGTGAGAGGGTGAATAGGCGAGTGAATGAGTGAGTGGGTAATTGGGTGAGTGAGTGGGTGGCTGAGCGATTGATTTGGTGCGTGAGTGGCTGGGTTAGTGAGTGATTGGGTGAGTGTGAGTAGTTTGGTGCGTGAGACAGTTTGTGGAGTTTGAGGAAGCTCGAATTGTTTAGATAATGAGACAGTTTTGGGAATAGTTTGGACATTGGACAGTTTGCTTGTGACTCCTGTCACGAGCAGAAAATGGCAAAAACGTCTCAAACACCATCTCGACATTTTGAGATTCAACAACTTGGATGAAAGATTCATGCCGCAACTCAGGGGGCAATGCCGGGAGAGAGGAGGCACGGGGAGAGGGAGTGAGATGGAGGACAGAGAGAGAGAGAGCGGTGGGGGGTGGGAGGGGAGATAACGGAGTGAATTGTAAACGCCTGTTCGCGTCACTGAGTTGTCCGAATTATGAGATGCAACCAGATAATCTTGTGCCGGGTGTCAATAAAGTTTTAACAAATCTAGTCACACAGGCAAATAAGACAAAGATCCCCCGTGTAGCCTTAGCAGACGTTTTCGGGCAAGTGCTCTTAGTGAGCAGCACCTACGAAGGCCGGCACGGTACACGAGGGGATGGGTGGCCGGCACCACGCCCGGCCGCCTTTGTCTCCCCAGTGGCAAAGTTTACACACCGCTGAGTCGATCTAGGGGAGGCCCAGGATCGGTTCAGATAATCGTCACTGGCGTTGGTTGGCCGTGAGCGGGAATCGAACATGGGTCACCGGGTTCAAAGTGCAGCGCGATAACCGCTGCGCCACCGCTCCCGACACGTCACACACACACGCTCTGCTACACATACCGGATGATTGTTTTTACTTTGCGAGTGTTCGTTTCCCGCTTGTTTAGCTACGCAACATCCTCACCAAGTCTCGAGACTGTTTTTTGCAGGAAGGTGCTGCCTGGTTTATCGCAGTCAGAGTTGGGGTGACGACGATGATGACGACGACGATGATTAAACATTGTCATTTTAACCTGTATCGTGCACGGTATTCGCCAACTATCGTAGAGAGAGAGGAAGGGGAGAGGGGAGGAGGCAGCAGCTGCGGCCACGCCACGTCGCCCAAGCTTTGCGCTCCTCGATATATGAAGGCGTGATCGGTCAATTAATCCGTGTTTACGTGTGGGAGAAATCCGCAGCGTGCGAGGGGGAAACGCTCTATCCCATAATGGCCGAACAGGTGGAGTCCACATTGTTTTCTGTGTCGCCTTCTGTTAAACACGTCGGCTTTCTCGTGGTGAAGCCAGGGGCACGGCTCCTATTCGACGTACACGGGAAGGGAGTTTCGCAAGATCTGTGTGTGACCCACCAACCCTTCTCTGCTGCTGCTGCCGCCGCCTCCACACGCAGTGCTGAATTGCAGGCAGCCACGTGCAGTATCAGCCACCCCTGCGCGTGTAATCCCAATTATTGTAATCCCAATAATCCACTCACGCACCCACCACCCGCTCGCTCGCTCGCTCACTCACCCACTCACCAACTCACCCACCCGCTCGCTCGCTCACTCACCCACTCATCAACTCACCCACCCACCCAACCGCTCGCTCGCTCACTCACCCACTCACCAACCCACCTGCTCGCTGACTCACCCACTCACCAACTCATCCACCCACCCGCTAGCTCGCTCACTCACCCACTCACCAACTCACCCACCCGCTAGCTCGCTCACTCACCCACTCACCAACTTACCCACCCACCCGCTAGCTCGCTCACTCACCCACTCACCAACTCACCCACCCACCCGTTCGCTCGCTCGCTCACTCACCCACTCACCAACTCACCAACTCACCCGCTCGCTGACTCACCCACTCACCAACTCACCCACCCACCCGCTCGCTCGCTCGCTCACTCACCCACTCACCAACTCACTCACCCACTCGCTCCGAACCAGGGTCAAAAGCCGGAACTAGGCGGGAGGTAAGGGTCAGTTGAAAGAGGCGAGATTTCAAGACGGACTTAAATATAGCTCACAACTTGATTGTCTTATTAGCAGAACGTTACACGTCGCTCGGGAGCTGCACTGGCAAAAAGCCCGATCACTGACCCGCTCACTGACCCAATCGCTCACTCAATCACCTACTCACCCACAAGACAGACTTGGATAAGCTCTAACGATGCTCATTGCCTCATTAGCAAAGGCAACGCGTTGTTAAAGCTTGCGACGCGCGCGCGCGCACATAATAATCCCTACAATCACCTATCACTCGCAGCGCACGCTGTAGTGAGGCTGTTACTCTGTGTGTGTGCGAGAAGTGATAACTGGGAGCTTTGATAGAGCCCTTCCCTCCCCTTACAAACCTTCTCAACACCCCCTCCCCCCACTACTACGACCAAACCGTGAACAAACAAGTGACTAAGTGCTTCGGAGGTTCATAATGACCGTGTCGCCACAGCTTAAAACAGCAACAACAACAAATGTCACATTCCTAACGGCTGCCCGTAGCGTAGCACGCACGCACGCGCACACACGCACACACACGCACACACAAGCACACACAAAGATCCCCCGTATAGCCTTAAAAGACTGTCGGGGCAAGTGCTGTTAGCGAGCACCTACACACACACACACACGCGCACGCACATGCCCACACATGCACACGCACACACACGCACACACACGCACACGCGCACACACACGCACACACATGTACACACATGCACACTGACACATGCACACACGCGCACACGTACACACACGCGCATACGCACACACACGCGCACACGCACACACACGCGCACACACACACGCACACACACACACACGCACACACACACGCACACACGCACACTCACACACACGCACACACACACACGCACACACTCACACACGCACACACACACTCACACACACACGCACACACACACACGTACACGCACACACACACACTCACACACACACGCACACACGCACACACACATCTGAGTGCAAACCTGTGGTTAAAATCCCGAGTGTGGCTTTCCAGTAAAATAAAAAACGTTGAGCCAACGTTGGCCCAACGTTGGCCCAACGTTAATCTAACGTCGGCCTAACGGGCATAAGGAGGAGTTACCCAACAGGATCAACTAAGTTTACAGATGCAATCTTCAAAAATGATTACCATTTCGCGAGCAATTTTGTACGGAATTTTCACGATAAAACATTGTCGGTACATTGCATGGTGTGCGCGCAGTTTTTATTATTGCCGAGACGAAGGGGCAAATACACCCAGCGATGCAATTCCTCGGGCGTAGCCAACGTCTCTGTGAAATTAATTTCACTCCCAAGAAGAAGAAGAAGTAGAATAATCATCATAATTAAACTCGGTTTTCCATGTGGCAATCCGCGCAAGGGACGTTTGTGATTAAGAGCTTTGTAGCTCATCGGGTTGCACCGGTGCAAATGAATATTCCGATTCTGACAAGGTCTCAAGCAAACTTGTTAAGTTATGGAGATGCCCGTTGTATAAAAAATTAACCCGTAAAAACAAAGTTTTTCACTCTAAATCCTTTATATGCGTGGCATCGGTTTTATTTTATTATTCATTTCTGTTTTTCTTGAGTAAGAGTTTCATTTTTATCACATTGGTATTTGTAATTAAATATGACATTTTTTTTTCCTAAAAAGTGGAAAATTTTGGAAAAATTTTATTCACGAAAATAAATTGTCACGCACAACGAGTCTGTGTGCAAAACGTCAGCTCGATTGGATCACGGGAAGTGGGTTAAAAAACGACCGAAAGATTTGCACGGTCGTAAGCGCGCAAGCAAGCAAGCAAGTGAACTTAATATACAGGATTAAAAAAATAAGAAAACTGGTGACTTTTAAGACGCGATTTAATGAAAGTGGAACCGACTCAGATTCACGAATGGACCTGGTGAACATAATTTCACAATCGCAGAGCGTGCCGTCAACAAAAGCTCCATCTCGCATGGCCCAACACAGTCCGGCTTTTAGTGGAATCGTAATGAAAAGTAGACCCGAATCGGCGGCTCGAAGTTTGCAAAGCGGAGAATAAAACTTGACTTGGGCAGATGGGTGGCGATGACATTCAGGAGCCAACTCGTTCAAGGCCCTTTGCGCGTGAGAAGACGACGACTCTTCACGTCGATTCTGGAACTGCCCTTACATTGGCCGCGCGGGACAGACAGACAGACAGGCAGACAGACAGACAGGCAGACAGACAGACAGGCAGACAGAGAGACAGACAGGCAGGCAGAGAGACAGACATGCAGACAGAGAGACAGACAGGCAGACAGCCAGGCAGAGAGACAGACAGACAGGCAGACAGGCCGGCAGGCAGACAGGCAGACAGACAGGCAGACAGGCAGACAGAGAGACAGGCAGACAGACAGACAGGCAGACAGACAGACAGACAGCCAGGCAGACAGACAGGCAGACAGGCAGACAGAGAGACAGGCAGACAGGCAGACAGACAGACAGACAGGCAGCCAGGCAGAGAGACAGGCAGACAGACAAACAGGCAGACAGACAGGCAGACAGGCAGACAGGCAGACAGACAGACAGGCAGACAGGCAGACAGACAGACAGACAGACAGGCAGGCAGGCAGGCAGACAGACAGACAGACAGGCAGGCAGGCAGGCAGGCAGGCAGGCAGACAGACAGGCAGACAGGCAGACAGGCAGACAGAGAGACAGGCAGACAGGCAGACAGACAGGCAGACAGGCAGACAGGCAGACAGACAGACAGACAGGCAGACAGACAGACAGGCAGATAGACAGGAAGACATACAGACAGACACACAGTCAGCGAGACAGACAGACAGACAGGCAGACAGACAGACAGACGCTTGACAAATAACTCATTCGCGAAACAGGTTGTTGGCATAGATCCCCGGGGTCGGCGAACTCGGGCCTCATGAGCCACGCGCGTCTCTTCAAGGGGACTGCTTCGGTGACGTTAAATTCTTGTTTTTAATTAAGGACCCACCGCGGTCTCGTTTCCACCATCGCCACGCGCTGCATTGCGGCTTCTTGAAACATTGGGAGGGATTTGTAAAAAAGGTGTCAGTTTTGTTGCCAGATAAAAGGTTAAAACACTAATTATCATATTTTTTAATGGCAAATGAGGTTCCAATAGTGTAAATGCTTACCCCGAGCTCTCATACTCTGATGGTGCATTGTCTTTGAGTTGTGCGCCTTTTGGCGTCATCTGGTCCAACACCATGTGAGGACTAGGCTCTAAGGAAAGCTGTCTCGGGTGTGGACCAATCAACTTCAAGGACATTGCATATCATTATCAGAGTTGTGTTTTTTGTTTGCATTATGACTGCATGTATTGTGGTCTATGCAAACATGACTCCTTGTAAAAAAAGGTGTCAGTTTTGTTGCCAGACAAAAGGGTAAAAAACCAATTATCATTTGTGTTGCTGTTGTTGTTCAAAGCAAATTCTAACAAAAGTGGTTGTTTCTTCTCGTTAGTTGACTTGCCGAACCCCCCCCTCCCTCCCCTGTCACAGACACATATTTTTTGGAGCCAAGTGCTGTTCGCGAGGAGCGCCTATCGAGGTCTGCACGGCACACGAGAGAGGGGGGGTGGGTGGCCAGCACCACCCCGTCCGCCTTTGTCTCCCGCGTGGCGATGTTTACACACCGCGTTAGGTTGAGTCGACCTAGGGGAGGCCCAGGACCGGTTCGAATAATCGTCACTGGTGTTGGTGGCCGTGAGCGGGAATCGAACTCGGGTCGCCAGGTTTGTAGCGCAGCGTGCTAACCGCTACACTGCCGCTCCCCACTCGCATACATACAAAATACAAAGATCCCCCGTGTAGCCTTGACAGACTGTAGGGACAAGTGCTGTTAGCGAGCACCTATGAAGGCCGGCACAGCACACGAGGGGGGAGGGTGGCCAACACCACGCCCGGCCGCCTTTGTCTCCCACGTGGCGATGTTTACACACCGCGTTAGGTTGAGTCGACCTAGGGGAGGCCCAGGACCGGTTCAGATAATCGTTACCGGTGTTGGCCGTTCTCTGCCTTCGAAGCCCGCGCTGCCAATCATCGTCGGAGTATTGCTGCCGTGTGCGGAGGGCGCTAATCCAGCAGTGGATTGGAACAGCACGTGTGCTGCGGCTGGCCACGCACGCGTACTCACTCGCTGACTACGCGCGCCCATGTAACACTCCGGTACTGCGGGTAGGCGGTCGATGAGGGGCCGTACTCCGTGGCTCTGCACAGCAAACATACGGGTGTCGCACCTGTTCCGTCTGTACGGGATAGAGTGTTTCCCCCTCGCACGCGTGGGTTTTTTGTTCGACAGGCTTGTGGCAGAAACAACTCAACCAAATTGGCCATGTCATCTTAATATACAGAAGACAGGCAAAGCTTAGAGGGTGGGGTGGGGGGAATGTGGTGCTGATATTGTTACAGCATTCGCTTAAAATTGGCCTGGCTCGGCCTATTCGCAATGCTCCTATGATGACGACGATGACGACGATTGTGGCGACGACGACAATGGTGATTGTGACGATGACGATTGTGACGATGGCAGTGATTTTGACAATGACGATTATTGTGACGATGATTGTGACGACAGTGATTGTGACGATGATTGTGATAACGACGATGGTGATTATGACGATGACGAAGATGAATGTGACGACGATGGTGATTGTGACGATGACGATGATCGTGACAAGCATAGTGATTGTGACGATGATTGTGATGATGATGGTGATTCTGATGACAACGGTGATTGCGACGATGATGACGACGTTGATCGTGACGACGGCGATGACGACGGGGATGGCGACGATCGCGACGAGGCGACGGGCAGTGCCGCCGCGTTCCCACCACCACCATCACCACCACCACCACCACCATCACCACCACCACCACCATCACCACCACCACCGCCACCATCACCACCACCACCACCATCACCACCACCACCACCATCACCACCACCACCACCACCATCACCACCACCACCACCACCACCATCACCACCACCACCACCATCACCACCACCACCATCACCACCACCATCACCACCACCACCATCACCACCACCACCACCATCACCACCACCACCATCACTACCACCACCACCATCACTACCACCACCACCATCACTACCACCACCGCCACCACCATCACCACCACCACCACCGCCACCACCACCGCCACCACCACCGCCACCACCACCACCGCCACCATCACTACCACCACCACCGCCACCACCACCGCCACCACCACCACCATCACCACCGCCACCACCACCATCACCACCACCACCATCACCACCACAACCACCACCACCACCACCACCACCGCCGCCACCACCACCATCACCATCACCACCACCACCACCGCCACCACCACCGCCACCACCACCGCCACCACCACCATCACCACCACCACCGCCGCCACCGCCACCACCACCGCCACCACCACCGCCACCACGACCGCCAACACCACCGCCACCACCGCCGCCACCACCACCACCACCACCGCCACCACCACCACCACCGCCACCGCCACCACCACCACCACCGCCACCACCACCGCCACCGCCACCGCCACCACCACCACCACCGCCGGCGGCTGCGGCGGCGATGGAAATCGGAGAATCAAAATGAAAAAACACGAAAAAAAATTCGATCACCGTTATTTTTCCCTCGAGCGAAATTCGTGCCCCCCCCCCCCCCCGCAGAAGGCTTTCATAAATCAGAGTCCCGCCTATTAAACCGTCCACGGCTCAAAACGCCTCCACAAGGCGGGCGTAATGAGGACGATCACTCACGGCCTCGTCCGCCCGTTCGTCCACCGCTCACGCACCGCCCGCGAGCGACCCGTGCCGGGGACCCTCGCCCATGAAGAGAGGCCCGGGTGTGTGCGGAGAGGCACGGGGGTGGTGGGGGTGGTGAGGAGATGATGGCGAGTTGCCTTCTCTCTCTCGTCCGTTACGCGGGACGCAGCCGTAGCAGTTACACACAGACACGCACACACACACACAGACACACACACAGACACACACACGTACACACAGTCACACACACAGACACACAAACACACACAGACACACACATACACAGACACACACACAGACACACAAACACACACAGACACACACATACACAGACACACACACAGACACACACACAGACACACACAGACACAGACACATACAGACACACACACACAGACACACAGACAGACACACACACACAGACACACACACATAGACACACACACACAGACACACAGACAGACACAGACACACAGACACACACTCAGACACACACACAGATACACACACACAGACACACAGACACACACACAGACACACACAGACACAGACACATACAGACACACACACACACAGACACACAGACAGACACACACACACACAGACACACACACATAGACACACACACACAGACACACAGACAGACACAGACACACAGACACACACTCAGACACACACACAGATACACACACACAGACACACAGACACACACACAGACACACACAGACAGCTCGAGGGCACTAAACGACCGCTTACCCAATAGCTGCCATCTCGCTCTCTCTTTCGCATACAAAGATAAACATTCCACCCCCTCTCCCCCCTTGCTATAGCCTCAAGAGACTGTAGGGGCAAGTGCTGTTAGTGAGCACCTATGAAGGCCGACGCAGTACACGAGGGGGGGGGGGGGGGCAGCACCACGTGACCAGATCAACCCGAATCCCTTTGTGAGTAATGGAGAAGGGTCATTACCTGAAATGTCGTCTAATAAATTGATTTTTTCCCCTCTCTTTAAAGGCCCCACAAACGTTTGGTTAGATATGGCAGGGTATGAAGGGCTGACGATTTGAAGTGCTCTTGCCAATGACCTGAACAACAATCATAATAATAAAGTCGACTTGTTAAGCACCCTATCCATTCCTCGCTCTCGTAGACAGAGAGAGAGAGAGAGGACGACTCCGAGAGAGAGAGGACGACTCAGAGAGAGGACGAATCAGAGAGAGGGCATGAGTTAGAGAGAGAGAGGACGACTCAGAGAGAGAGAGAGAGGACGACTCAGAGAGAGAGGACGGCTCAGTGAGAGAGAGGACGACTCAGAGAGAGAGAGGACGACTCAGAGAGAGAGAGAGAGGACAACTCAGAGAGAGAAGACGACTCAGAGAGAGAGAGGACAACTCAGAGAGAGAGGACGACTCAGAGAGAGAGGACAACTCAGAGAGAGAGAGAGGACAACTCAGAGAGAGAGGACGACTCAGAGAGAGAGAGAGAGGACAACTCAGAGAGAGAGGACGACTCAGAGAGAGAGGACGACTCAGAGAGAGAGAGGACGACTCAGAGAGAGAGAGGACGACTCAGAGAGAGAGAGGACGACTCAGAGAGATAGAAAGGACGACTCAGAGAGAGAGAGGACGACTCAGAGAGAGAGGACGACTCAGAGAGAGAGGACGGCTCAGTGAGAGAGAGGACGACTCAGAGAGAGAGAGGACGACTCAGAGAGAGAGAGAGGACAACTCAGAGAGAGAGAGGACGACTCAGAGAGAGAGAGAGGACAACTCAGAGAGAGAGGACGACTCAGAGAGAGAGAGGACGACTCAGAGAGAGAGAGGACAACTCAGAGAGAGAGGACGACTCAGAGAGAGAGAGAGAGAGGACAACTCAGAGAGAGAGGACGACTCAGAGAGAGAGAGGACGACTCAGAGAGAGAGAGGACGATTCAGAAAGAGAGAGGACGACTCAGAGAGAGAGAGGATGACTTAGAAAATGAGAGAGGACGACTCAGAGAGAGAGAGGACAACTCAGAGAGAGAGGACGACTCAGAGAGAGAGAGGACGACTCAGAGAGAAAGAGAGGACGATTCAGAAAGAGAGAGGACGACTCAGAGAGAGAGGATGACTTAGAAAATGAGAGAGGACGACACAGAGAGAGACATCGGACGACTCAGAGAGAGAGAGAGGACGACTCAGAGGCGCGAGGAGGAACTACAGGTTGGCTACGTGCGGCGCGAAAGAAGTTCAGCATACATACTTACGAAGCCAGCAGCGGCCATGCAGGCAATAAGCCGGTGCCAAATGCCTTCCCGAGCTCTGCCGCTTCTCTGTGTATCAAGGTGTTTCGCGGCCAATGCTAAATGAGTGCGGGAGGAAATCGGAGAATCCGGAGATAATAACCCACGAGACCACAGCTGGCACCAGCGCGCTTACAACACCATAGGGTACACGTCTAATCGGAGCGACCGCCCCGGGCCCCTCGCTTGGGGGGGGGGGAAGAGCGGGCTCGACGTCATGGTGTCAGATGAAAGTTCCGGTTAGTTTGACGGTGTCAGGGGGCCCACGCGGTGGGGTTTGTGTCGGGCTCCGCACCCCCCTGCTACATCCCCAACGTGTACCAGAGGTCGCAAGCGGGGTTTGATTCCTTACTGTTACCCGTACACGGCCGCACCAGGGTCGCAAATGGGTACCCGTACCCGGCCGTACCCGTACCCTACCCGTACCCGGCGGGGTACGGGTAGGGTACGGGTACCCGATTGCGACCTCTGGGATGAAGTCATGTTGCAGGCGCGGGTGGGTGGATTCTAGGAACTTTTATTGTGAGAAGAGACAAGACGTTGGGAAATGAGTGACAAACGGTGACTCACCAGTGACTCACGGTCTACCCGTACCCGTACCCGGCCGCACCAGGGTCGCAAACGGGTACCCGTACCCGGCCGGGTACGGGTAGCCGGGTATC